CCTTCCCATCCCCATCTGACTCGACCACCCCCCAGAAAACGCAGCCTCCCCCTGGAAAACTGCCCCCCCGTTCATCTTTTACAGTGCTCATCACATCCCTTCCTGCTCCAGATCAACCTCTCCCCCATTCTGTTCGCAAACACACACCCCCCCACCCAAACGCATCCCCTCAGGAGCGAGTCCCTCAGACGTGAGCCACGCCTTGCTACACCCCCCGTCTCCAAGGCCCCACAATAATTAAAACACGACCCCCTCACTAATTCCGTTCTCACTCCAATAAGCTTTGAATCTCAGGCCTGGGAGGGTGGAAGACACCCCCTTTTAGAGGAGAAAGACTCCGGACCTGATAACAATTGAGTAGCACTCACACAAAGAAAAATGGCGTCCCCATCCGCGGGGCGTGAAACGGCCCTGCCCAAGCAAGTCGGCCAGAATGCAGCCTTCACCACCCGTAATTCACAACCAGGCACAGGGAAGACTCAAATGAAACTCGTTGATAACGAAGCACTCAAGTTCCTGATCGATAGAACCAAGGTCGAAGGAGTTCCCATCACAGAGAAAGTGTTAGTGGAAGATAAAGAAGAGGAAGTGATTGTGTGGAAATACCATGAGAACAAGATTCATGAATTGGATGATCTTCATGAGAGGCATGTGGTAGTTTTCAACTTTACCCGAAATGGGGCAATGGATTATTGAGACGATAAAAAAGGAGGACAAACTCAAAGACGTCGGGGAAGCCTTCTCTCTGCAGAATCTGGGATGCAACAACATCATGGTGATCTTTAACGAGGAAAATCATGCCCAGATCGCAGCGGGAATGCAGTCGAGAAACTGCAGTGGATCAATCTGCACAATAACGAAATGGAAGAAACAAACGGCTCAGAGACAGAACCCCACGTTCACTGTCTCATACAAGCAAACACTGATGAAAGAGCACTTCTGGGTGCAGTTTGGCGGCATCCACCCGGGCTTTCACGGGCTGGTGGTGGACAGACTAGAGCGACAATATACAGCGAATAGAATCCTAAAATGGATTTTGCCGACCCCGGAATTTCTCTCACCTCATTGTGGGTCAATGACGGCCCTGCTTGAAGTCAAAACAGATGACCCCCCGGTTTTCCCAGATATCTGGAAATTTCAGATCGAAAGCAAAGTCCTTGAAATCAGCGTTTTAACGAAAACCGCTCCAATCTGTTTCAGATGCAGGGGGCGCGGACACTTGGGCACAAATCCAAGCTGTCCAAAGTTTCCCAAGCAATCAAAAGAACGGAAACTTCTCCCCAACATGCTAGTGGAGGTCGGGGATGCCCCGGGCACATGGTTCATCATCGACCCCAACTATGATGGTTGGGTCTTCGATGATAACCTCGAGGACCCAGACTGGGTATGGCATTATGCAGACCGGGAGCCCACAGTCAAAAAGCCCAACATTTTTCCTCCCGCAGACAGCAGATGGCAGAAAAAAGGAACAGGCAAGATTAAGGGGAATCCAACAAAAATTAACACAAATCCATTGATCGACTCCCGAATGGTTAGGGAAGAGAAGGCAAGGGAAGATTTGCTATGGGACCTGGATTCAATTCGGGAACAGGCAGAGGACCTATACACCAAGGAACCAGCACCTTTCAAAGCAATGCTAAGCCGCTTAGAGCAAGAGGCTAGCCACAAACGCATGCTTGAAGGAAAAGACTCACAAGAGAAGGTAGAAGTGGGTCTCAAGAGAAGGAAAGCGATGGATTCAGACAAGGAAATGGGGCAAGAGCAGCCCCCTGCAAAAGGACAGAAAAAAAACACAGATTCTGATCCCGCCGACGCAGGGACTGACTCCAAGGACAGTGAGGAGGGAAGGACAATGGAGAATCTGAAGGAACGACCACGGATAGCGGGCCCGACTCTCACCGGTCCCTCCAATGGCTGCGCGACTACATAAAGAAGGCGAAAAAGGAAAGAGAACACGCTTTCGATATCAGAGCTGCCTGCCTAAAACACATAGAAAGATCTCAGAGAAACGGAAAGAGCAGCAAGATCGGAACAGTCGCAGGTATTGAGGAATCAAGCAATCTGTACGAGGCTCTAAGAAAGGAAAAGGCGGAGGAATTCTCAGAATATACCGCCTTTAGATATGCAGAGAAAAAAASAGCCAGAGAACAGGGACTGACTGACAAGGACAAGACAGTCCTCAACACCAATGACTCCTTCCAGGATCTGCGTCCGAAAAAGTGGAGATCAACAAAAAATAAGAAGAAAAAGGGACCAGACTCAGTCTCGAACTCAGACCCAGTAGAGGCTGAGGAAGAATCCACACGATCAATGTTGGAAAAAGAAACAGCGGTGGTTTTGGCTCAAACTGAGAAGCTGAAAAAACTGAACGCAGAATATGGACCGTAATTTACATCCATTCAACACATTGCAGATGGTAAGGCACCTCACGTGGTAGCCTCGGCCAAATCAGCAAGGCTCACCCTAATGGGTACGCGTCCACTCATTGCAGCAAGGTATCTGGAGAAGGAAGGAGAATGGCAGGTGGCTACGGATGTGTCCTTCACAATTCCCAGGTTGGATGAAGGACAAAACGTAGCCAAAATCCTTCATGAAAAGGTAACAAAGGAATTCCCATTGGGACTGTACGGAACAGTCGACACCTATGACTGCTTGGAGACCAGCTCCGTGCAAAGTGCACATGGGAAACAGCAGGACCAACAGAGGGAAGGGGAATGGCATAGCTCCGGCGCCTTTTCTCCCATAATCGCCAAGATGCCAGCAAACACCCAACTGAACAGTGGAATGATGTGGAGACCATGGGGAACGGTCACAGCTATTCCGTACAGTGTCCTTGCGGGCCCGGGGATCTCAGCAGAACTGCTGGCAGCCTCGGTAGCACAGCTGCTGAGCTCCGGCATCTTGAATGGAGACAGTGATCTAGAAGCCAAAGCTTTCACCATGGATCTGGACAGGTTCTATAGAAGCGACTATTCGGAGGATGACATGGAAGAATGACAGGAAGATGGAGTCACCTCAAAGTCGGCCTTCTTAATGGACCTAGGAACCAGCGGAAGCATTGGAGAATACCAAATAGTTGACGCCACCACAAAGACACAGCAGGATCCGTCGGATGAGCCCACATCAGCTATGGAGGACCTCGACCAAGACCCCTCCTGAAAACTTAATACCCTAATACCAGTATCGCCACGGCCCGACCGCCACAATGTTGGAAATCTTTAGAAAGAGGGCAAACGCCAATGATGCGCGAGTGGACTGGAAGACACAAGGGATAATAATCAGAAGTTGGAATGTCAACGGGCTGGGTAACATAAAGGAAAAAGAAGCAAAACTAAACGACATCATCAAAGGACTGACAGTACACACAAACAAGTTGGCAGATATAATCTTACTACAGGAGACTCACCTCACCACATCTACAGAACACAACAAAATCTGAAAAGCTTTAACAAAGAAGATGGGAGGAATCACAAGTGAAGTATGGTCATCGGATAATGTAGCAAGCACAAAGGGAATGGCCATCCTCATACCTAAATCGTCCCGCTTCCTCACAGCAGGAACAATCGTGGGAATGGAGGCAGATACAGCAGAGGGAAGATGGTGCCTTATGGATCTGAAATGGAAGGAAGAGGAATTTAGACTAATCAACGTGTACGCACCGAACAACTCTTATGAAAGGACAACATTCATAACGAACATTGGTCAACTGATCACCCCCTTGACACCATGCATCCTAGTAGGAGACTGGAACGCAACATTGGACCCATCCACCGACCGCATCTCCAGAGTAACGACCAACCAATCGGCACAAGAGGCGCTACCCATTCAGAAGTTGATCCTCGAGCACTATCTAGTCGAACCGCATCGCACTCTGCATCCGGGGGAAAAATCATTCACGTTGGTCAAGAAAAGCCATGCTCAACATACGGCCTTCTCTTTCATCGACTACTTTCTACTCTCAGACACGCTAATGGGAACGGTCAAGAACGAAGAAATCCTCCCGTTACAACCATACCCGGGTCTGGATCACAAACCCATCGAGCTCATCATCAGTTTTGAACAGTACGTTAAGAAAGGGTCCAGCTTCCATAAATTGAATAACTCGCTCCTACTAAGTCAACTCTTTCAAGAAGGAGTCAATGAATGTTGGCACAATATGAGAGGCAACTATCTACCTATTCATGACAGATGGGAGTGGTTCCAAGAAAGTTATTCCATGCTCTCACAAACGATAGCAAGAATCTCGAGGAAAATGGCGGTTGATAGAAAGCGAAGGAAACAAGCATTAAAAGCAGCACTTAAGATCGCGAAACTAAACCTTGCTGACAACCCGTCATCCCCAATCTACACAAACATCTTTCAGAAAGCAAGAGAAGAGCTAGCCATGTGGCGATGGTGGGAACTGAAGGGCTTGCAGATAAGGGCCAGAATGAACGAATATGACTTAAGTGAATCAATGTCCAAACCCTTCTTTGCAAGAATCAAAGCTAATGCAAGATCTAGTTCCATAGAAGGCCTGAGAACCCTCGCTGACCCGTCAGAAACATTAACGGATAGCGAAGGGATACTCAACGTAGCTAAGGGCTTCTATGAGGAGCTTTACCAGACGAAGACCCCCACGCCTACACCTCCCAGCACCAGAGAAGCACGCACCAGAATGCTTCAATACTTAGATCGAACAATCTCACAGGAACAGTCAGAAGCTCTCGATAAGCCCTTATCACTGGAAGAACTTCAATTCGCAGTCCAAAACATGAATAGCAACAAGACGCCAGGCATTGACGGGCTGACGAAATAATTCTGGGTAAAATTCTGGCCACTCCTAGGGAAGGACTTGCTGAACTTTTACCAGGATAGTTGGCAAAAAGGAGGACTATGGAATCTGTTGAGTAGTAGTGTGGTTACCCTGCTCTACAAGAAAGGCGAAAAAGAAGATATAAGAAATTACAGACCTATTTCTTTATTGACTCTCCCCTATAAAATATTGGCCAAAGCCCTGGCTTTCAGGATTCTCGATCTGACTGACAAGTGCTTCCACATARACCAGWCGGGCTTYATCCCGGGAAGATACATCCTAGATAATRTTCTCACCCTCAATGAAGCAKCCAATAAAGTCAGGGRAAAAAGGATCAATACGGCAATACTTTTTTTTGACTTTGAGAAAGCCTACGACCAGGTCAATTGGGCCTTTCTCAATGCAAGTATGGAAAAGATGGGAGTAGGGCCGAACTTCAGAAAATGGGTACGAATCTTTTACAACGATGCTATTGGTTGTGTGCAGGTCAATGGCCTGCTCTCAGAATGCTACCCAATTTCACGATCAGTTCGTCAGGGCGATCCACTAGCACCTCCAATTTTCCTGTTCGTCGTGGAAGCAATAGCGTCTTTCCTGCGCAAGGATCCGTCCATACACAGACTACCGGAGATCAACACAGGGTCAACCCACCACATACATTTCCCGATAGTCATAATGTTCGCTGATGATCTCACTGTCCTTATACGGGCTTTAGGATCATCCCTCAGTGCCCTAGTAAGAGCTATGGAAGCATTCAGACTAGCTTCAGAAATGAAAATTAACTGGAAGAAAAAGATTGGATGGTGGTTATCTGAAGAAGAGGCCCCTCTTCTCCAAGGCCCAGAGGCAGCAATGACATGGGATACACCAGACACGCCTACCCGGTACCTAGGCATCCTCTTGACGAAAGAAGGATGCGCGTCTCAAACGGCCCAAAATATGCTTGCCAAACAGATCAATAAGATGGGCCGATGGGGCAATACATTCACCTCCCTGCTGGGTCGCGCCTTGGCCATCAACACTTCTATCTTCTCAATGATGTGGTATATAACATCTATATGGACAATCCCTGATCACTCGATAAAGGACCTGAACCGCAAAGCTAGAGCATACYTGTGGTCAGGAGATCCCRACAAGGAAAATTATATACCAAAAGTAGCATGGCACTACATTACAAGGAAACCCGYTGAAGGTGGTCTCRGTATTATAGATCCCAAAYAAGAAACAAAAGCTCTACAAATAAAATGGATTGTCAAAYTCCTCACCAAATMGGGAACAGCATGGAACAATCTGGCGTTAGACAGCATTAGAGGGYTGGCTCCGATACCGACACCAGCAAACATGTCGGGCCTGTTCTGGGTAATGAACAAGGAATGGACCCCAAAAACAGGCCGCAGAAACCMACAAAAAAATGGAACCCCCACTGGAACCAGCACCCCCACACCTTACTGGTCTGCACTTCTAAGGATATGGTGGGAAATCATGCCGAAGAAAGTCRGGAAACCAAAGACCAGAGAAGAAGTACTGAGGCAACCTCTATTTGGCAACCCGTGGGTGAGAGACGAAAGCGATCACCCRCYCTCGCTTARACCCAATGGCACACGCTGGTTATCATGGATAAAACACGGGATCTGGAAAGTCTCGCATATATGGGACGAAGATAAGAAGGGGTGGCTCACTGATCAGGAACTCGCCACCCTTCTCAAGGGATGCCACCGGCGTCAGGAGAACCTGCAAACAATTATCAGTTGCATCCCGGAGGGATGGAAAGAAACATTAACAGAGGCACCAACCTGGAAAACGGGGGAATGGGGAGTCAAGGTACAAGAACAGTCCCCTTCGAAGGCCTACCAATTCTCCCATAAACAGCAGGGCTCGCGAACCCTGGCTGTCTTCACAGCCTTTCCAGCCACTCGGTCAGCGCACAACTCGGTGTCCATCCTGAACAAGGATGTAGAAGGAGCGGTTCTCGGTATGTTCCTGCTCAGAAAAGTAAGAGTCACTGGGTCATGGCCCAAAACAATTTTCAGGTCAGACACAGCAATCCAGGACCTGGAATTCGACCCGGCGGAATGGGCCTGGATGCCAGGAAGGAACAAAATTGTCAAGACAAATACCCACATACAAGACTATTCAGTCAAATTGGGCTATAGGCTTTTCCTTAGAACCAAGCACCCGGACCCCACAATCAGGAACAGATGGTCCAAACTGATGGGCCAGGATGCCAGCCACTTCCCACAAATCCCATGGAAAAAACTTAGTTCAATCAGACCAGTAAAAATCAGGAGCCTCCAATGGCTAATTGCATACGTGGCCTTACCGGTTAATCAATGGTTGCACATCCGGAGACACAAGAACGACCCCAACAGCTCAGATGTATGTTCAGTATGCACGGATAATGAACCAGAAGACATGCTTCACTGTTTAATACGCTGCAGAGAAGCAACAAAATACTGGGCAAGGGCATCGGCCCTTTGGGACTCCCTATTTTCGTCTCCCCTCCCCGAACATCCCCTCCAACTTCTCCTTTGGACTAACATCCCCTCCAACTTCTCCTTTGGACTAACATCCCCACCCAGTTGAACAAGACGGAGAGGATCTGGTTCGGGATGATCAGGAAGGCGACACTATGGACCATCTGGAAGGAAAGATGTGGCAGAACCATTGAGGGTACGTCAAATTCGAGGGAAAAAGTCTGGGTGGAAACTAAGGATTTGATTCAAGCAGAGATTTTATGTAAGTGGCACAAGGCAAAACTCTCCTTACCAGAAGACGATGAGCAACGGCGGGCAGCACATTTAAAGTTCACTAAGACTTGGCTGGTTGAAGGAAAAGTTGCTGAGATTACAAACTCCTATCTACGATGGAAGGACTGGCACAACTCGTGAGGGGACAGGAGAGGACCAAGATACTTGACGACAGAAAAAGAGGAATAGGGAGGGAAGAGATATATGGGTAAGGTTTGAAGCTAGAAAAGTGGTACAACTCTGTCAAATCTGTAGGCCGGACATTTACTCGGGTACACGGGGATCCATCTCCAATCTGGGCCTAGAGGTACTTCCGACACACACTTATGACAGACGATAGCAGTTTTCTCACAGGGAACAGATGGAGAAATAGATTAAGGCGGCCCAAAGTTCTAAGGGCAGGGTACAAGCAGAAACAGGATAAACATGGAACAGAAGGAGAGAGATTAAAAGAGAGGTCCAGGGTGCAAAGGTTCAAAGGATATAAATAGGGTTTGGGTTTCAAAAAATGGAGTAATTGTGTTTAAGGCTTAGGGTTTAGGGTTTAGGTTTTAGGGTTCAGGCTGGAAGATGTAGACAGAAACAAGACGACCAGGGGTGAGAATGTTAGAGAAATCATGAGGCTCATATGCGGGACTTAGGGTGTACATAGAGGTTGGAAGAAGTGCGGCTGCTTAGACCTCTCTTGCTATTTATGTGGTATCTGACAGGCTCTTTATAATAGTCCTGAGAGGAGAGTTGGAAGCAGGGCAAGCTGACAGTCAAAAAAAAAAAAAGAAAAAAAAAAAGAAGAAAAGGGCATCATTGGACAAAGACTTCAGAAGACGAAAAATGCACCAGGGTGCTTTTGAAAGATGCATGACAGAAAAATCCACTCACCATCCCCCATGGTCCATCCACTGGCGAAGCAGTTCTATTGGCGGCTGGGCTCCATACTTTTCTGGAGCAGGCATATTTAAGTCATCAACAAAAATCACATACTGTTTTCCAAGGGTTGGCCCATATACACCTCGCCGCCGTTTCTCCAATTTGCTGTCAATGATGTCCTGCGTCTGATTTGCACTCGTCTGAGCCGAGAAATTGAAGAACATGGACTGGAACCTAGGAAAGAAACCAATAAAACATCAACAGCTTGGGGTGAGTTTTTTCAACTTCTTTTGTGAAAAGACCTCCACACAACTTCAAATATGTGGATGGCCTGGCCTCTTTTTTGTTTAACCCTGAAATGGGCCTGAACTTGCTTCAGGAGAAAACTTGTCAAGGGTGGCCGTACAGGTGGTTGTCAAGGGATGCTCTCTCTCTCTCTCTCTCTCTCTCTCTCTCTCTCTCTCTCTC